ATATATTTTTAACCAATCAAAATTTATTACACAAAAAATTAGCCAATTATATTTGATTATATAATCATAAATTTGGTGCTTTTAAAAAAAAAAGTGGATATCTTTAGCTGTCCCGTACTGTAAAAAGCTTTTTTTGATAACGATACTATCCAGAATTTTAATAAAGAAACTGAATATATATTAATAGTGGTTATTATAACATATTAGCAAAATTTATTTTAGATAATCATTATGAATCAATTCAATCAAAGATTTATTATACTAAATTATTAGTCATGAACTATACATGTGACAATTTATTTCTATGTTTTTTTAGTTTCTAATATTCGTTTATAACTTCGTCTAATTCTTTGAGAACTGATTCATTTTTAAGCCTTTATACATTAAATTTTCTTTAAAAAATATATAATAAATTATTTTATTTTATTCGCGTGAATATATTGACTTTTAAGTAGAAATTCTCAATAAATGAATCTAATTATGAGTTTTTGTAATTCTTCTTTATTAAACTAAATTATGAAATGTGCAAATTGGTTTTATTAACTATATTTATAATCCTATTTGATAAACTTTTTGATGCGTTTTATTTTCTAAATTAACAAATATTAATTTCAATTTTTCAAAATGGCTTTTGGCCATTATTAAACAAATATTTAAAATATGCAACCAATTTTTGATTTTCAGCAAATTTCGTCATCAACCTTAATTCAGCTTTAGATAGAGTAAACAATTAATGTATAATTTCATCAAGCAGCTAAATATACAGTATAATAAAAATAGTACCTTCTTGATTTAATTCTTCTAAAAGAGTATTTTTCGTGACTAAATCAGATTCACAATCTTATAAGGAGATGCTATTAGTATGCGTATAGTAATTGAAAGTATAGACAAAATTCTACTACAACTAAATATATATACTCTGAATATATTCTTTCATTTTGTTCAATTCACTTTTCAAATGAGTATTTTCCTCAACTAAATCAAATACACGATCTTATAAGGAGATGGCTATTAGTATATATATAGTCAAAATTCTACTGCAACTAAATATATATACACTGAATTTTTTTCAATTGACTCAATTTTTTTCCAAACGATTAACTTGTAAAAGAGAGAGCTATTATTAGTATATAATCGTAATGTAATTAAAAACAAAAAATATATACAGAATTTTACTTTTCAATAACAAGTGCACTTCACTCTTGTGCTTGTCTTTCATGTTTATAGCTTTTATTTGACTCAATTTTTTTTCTAAATGATTAACTTGTAAAAGAGAGAGCTATTATTAGTATATAATCGTAATGTAATTAAAAACAAAAAATATATACAGAATTTTATCTTTCAATAACAAGCACACTTAACTCTTGTGCTTGTCCTTCATGTTTACAGCTTTTTAAAAATGTTTAAAGACTAACTATTACTTGTCTCTGTGATAAGTTAAAATTTATTATTAATTAAGTTTTAGTTAATTATCATTAAATGAGAAATTTTTAATTTTCTAGAAAATGAGTATAAATACTAAGCATGTTTTTCTTTTTTTTCTTTGTCTAAAAAATAAAGTTTACTACTTTATTATTGATCGATTCTCATCAAAGAAAGAAAAAAGACAAAGTGAAGCAAAAAGGACATTCTAGCTTATATATTATTTTATTAAGTTGTAAAATATACAGATAATAATTAGATATTTAATAAAACAAGTTTATTACTATACAAAAATATATTCTTTTTTTTTAGCTTTATACATATTGCAGATCTAGGACCCACGTGGAAATTAAATATATGTCAATAAAAAATATATTATGAATATATTACTCTACAAACCTTGAATTTTGTTTTATATATGCTACACTATTACATTAATATTGTATAAATTAAAATATTTTAAAATTGAAGATCTATAGTTAAACTTGTTTTAAACTAATTGTTATAAACTAAGAGCATTTATTATAAAATACTAATTACTTTGCAAAAATATGAATATCGATAGAGACAAATTTCTAGGAAAGGCTGTATGATTCTACATAAGGTTTATCTGATCCTGGCGGTTATTGCGCTATTACTGCTTTTGGAATTTATATTAGTTTGTATTTGAAAATTATACTGCCTAAAAATTTTAATTAGTAATGCTTATTGATATATGAGATAATGAATTGCATAGTAACACTTATTAAGCTAATGAAAAACTTATTTTTGTTGGATTTATTAGGTTAAATTAATAAATTAAAAATCGAATAAATCAGGATTGTTTCAGGATTAGATTTTATCTGTTCACAAAACAACTAAAAAACTTAGAATTTCGTCTGATACTTTGAGATGTTGGTTAAAACAAGGAAAGATATCTGCAAAGACATCTCTATCTGGGACTCATCTCTATGATATTTCTTCTTTTTTTCCAGAATTGATTACTAAAATGATATCTCAACCACCTCTGTTACCGAAAAGAAAGGTTTCTTGTATGCATGTGTCTCGAGTAACAAACAGAAAAAAGATCTTGAAAGGCAAAAGCAACTCCTCAGATCCAGATTTCCCAATTATGAACTTATTAGTGACATCGGGTCAGGCATCAATTTCAAAAGAAATGGTCTTAAAACCTTATTGAAATGATCAAGTAAAGGAATGGTCTCAGAAGTTGTGGTTAACCACAGAGACAGATTATGCAGATTCGCGTATGAACTCATCGAGTACGTTTTCTCATTATATTCTACGAAACTCATAGTTCTCTTCAATGAGTCAAATTCTAATGAACATGAATTATTCCAAGATATCCTCGCTATCAACACTGTATTCATTTGTAGAATGCAAGGACGGAGAGCCGCAAGATACAGAAAAGAAAGGAAAAAAAAAAAAGATGATAATTGTTCGAAAAACAAGGAAACAGAAACTCGAAACGAGCTTGAACAGAACATTGTTGATCAAGACGTATCCGAATCATTTACAGAAAAAAATTTTAAAGAGATGGCTTGGATTGACAAGATTCACTTATAATTCAGTCATAAGATGAAATATGAAGAAATGTTTCTTCAACACTAACAAACGAAAAGAATGGATAAAACCTCAAACGTTAAAAGACAAGCTAGAACTTTATTTGGACATTAAGGATGAAAAATTTTGCAAAACGTGCATGTGGGGTGAACGAAAATTTATTAGAAATGTGATATAGTTAGATCTTTGACTAAAAAATCTATACGACAAAGTTCCCATGAATATTATAGATGAAAGCATTGATGAAGCTCTAACTGCTAGAACGAACATAATACAAAACAACCTGAAAGACGTCAAAAAGTTTTCCTTGTCATTCAAATCAAAAAAAGATCTAAGGCAAACGATAAGTATTCGTGCTCAGAATTTTTCAAAAAAAGATTTGAATCATCTCTACGTATCTTACCTTCACAATTACAATTCTCTGAAACACAAACGTCACAAACCTAACGATATCGTGATTAACAAACGAGATCTAAGACCTTTCCATTCAGAGAAAAAAGAAGAAACAATAATTGGCCTTCTGTTAAAATAGATTGTGATTGTAAACTCACTTACTTATGTAAAACGAATGAATGGATCTTTCATTAGGTTCATGAGAAACAAGCACGAATTTGTGAGACACAAGATGTAATTCATGCTATCTCGATAGATTCTGGTGTCAGAACCCCATTTACCTGGTATTCTCCTACAAAAGGTACTAGGAAGATTGGTAATCGTGACATAGATCAAATATATAGATTATGCAAATACATGGATGACCTCATCTTGAGAAAAGATAAATTATCCAATTCTAAATTTAAAGGTAAGAAAAAGAAAGCTTCTCGTTTGGACAAGGCATGCATAGAATGATAAGAAAAATTTATAAATTACAAAACGAGATCCATAGAAAAATGATCAAATTCTTAACAGACAAATTTGACATCATCATGATCCCACCTTTTGAAATATCAAACATGATTAACAGAAAGACCAGAAAGATAAACAAGAAAATAGTGAAAAGAATGTTAGGATGGTCTCATTACAAGTTTAAACAAAGATTGATCTCAAAATCTGAAGAAAAAGGTATCAAAGTGATCTTTCAAAATGAAGCTTACACTTCAAAAACGTGCAGTTGGTGTGGTAATATGCAAAATATCAGTGGGTCAAAAATATACAAATGCAAAAATTGTAACATTGAGATTGACAAGGACATAAACAGCACTCAAGAGTTACTTCTTTGGGCTTTGCTTGATAGAGCTATGATCTTGTCATAAGACATCTTCATGCAGGAAATAGTAACTTTATTTAGTAATACTTAGTATTGATTACTATTGATATATTACAATCCATCCGTATTGTCAAATAAAAATGAACCTAACAAAATTGTAATTTACCTATATTGTATTTCTACTACCGCTACCATTGAAAAAAACTAGTTTCACAACAAAATAATATATTATACTGTTATATGATTAATATAAAAAGATAAAGGTAGCAATTTCTTTAAAAAACAAGTTTTAAAATATATAGGATCTGCAATAGTATAATATATATGAGTGCCATTAAGAGAAAATCCACATGCTGTCTTTCACTTATATATTAAAATAATATGATCTGTAATATATTATTCATATAATTCTGAGTATATATGCTATTTAAATTAAATAATAAGATATATAAGATGAAATAATTCTTACCGAGTACATATGAAATTTATAAAATAATTAGAAACTTATCAGGTTTGAATTCTAACTTGTAAAAATATGAATACACAACCTTTAAATCAAGAAAATTTCAAACAAGCTATACAAAGCTATTTGCTTAAAGTTTACGAAAGTTTTTGTCTTGTTATTGCTTCTGGAGTTATTATTTTTAGAGTATGTTAATATTGCTTTAGAAAAAAATTTTTTTTTTAGCTAAATTCGTATTTTGCATTTTAGGTCTTTGAATTACCAATTAGACCTTTGATCAAAGTTTTGTTACTGTAAATTTTATTTTTTTCATTATTTTTGCTTTGTTTTATATAGTTAATGTTTTTTTTTTATATATTTAATAGCTATGAAGACATGGCAAATGTCTACAAAATAAATTTCTTAATGTTTGGTCCTGTCATATTGTTATCTTTAGCAACCAACAAAAAGATAATTATAGATATTGTATTTATTTTAAGAATTGTGATTTCAACGTGGAATTGGTATTCATTTGTTAACTATAGCAGGTTTTTTAACGACAAATTTGTTAACATTGATTGGTATTCTGATTCGAATTATTTTGGATGATTTTGTTTATTATGTATATATAAAAGCATTCATTAAGTTTTTTACTCAAGTACAGTACTAATTATTTTTATATTTTATAGTCTTAATTGGAATTGAACTTTATACCATATCTGTCATTTTGCACAATCCAGATATTTTCGTAAAATTTTGGGACATATGCTTTTTTGGTTTATCTGCATTTTTTCATCAGTTGTTCATTTTTGAATTTCATTGGCTTCGCTATCCTTGTTCAGTATTCAGAATTAAACTATATTGGATATATCCAATTTTCATCATAATTTTATATTTAAAATTTTTAAATCAAATATGTATTAATTATTTTTTTTATTTTGTAAGATTGAAAATAATATTTATCATTTTGCTCAGTTGGGATTTTGTGATACTTGTAACATTATAGGACATACTCTTTATTTGATCTTTCAGTTTGTCTATTATAATTTATTATTAATATCAATATTAGAAAATTTGATAATGGCTCATAAATTCAATTGAATTTAAATTTATCAGTTGATAATTTTATCATTTTATTGTTCTAATTGTTAAACTAATAAATTTGGCCAATCATCAATAAGATGCAATTTACCAATCATGAAAAAGATCACGAATTACGTTATTTGTTTTATGTTACATTTTAATAATAATTCTATTTGAACTTCATAATTTTCGTTCTGCAATTATTAATAAGATATAGCTCACAGATACAAGATTTAAATATAATTATTGAAGATGAAAGTGTATATGACTTACAAATTGTTTTGGATTAAAGTGAATTTTATGGATTTAAAATTAGAATTTTGGATGAGTAAACTGTATAATGTGATTTGTAAATTACTTAGCAAGATAATTTATTCTTGAGTATATATGTGTTACCTTAATCTATTCATTTATTGTTTGTATATATTTGATTAAATAAAAATTTTATTAAAATTAACGGGTAAATTTATTTTGCAAGATATTTTAGAATTCCCAAAGCTTAAAATTTCATATATAGTTTTTTTGGTTTTCTTTTTAATAAACAAAGTATTTCAAATATAGTCTTTCTGATTATGTAAGAATGCTTATTTTAATATTACTTTTCTAAGCCTAAGATTTGTTGTTAACCGTTTAACCTTGTTAAGCATTTAATTTGGTCATCATTAAATAGAAAATAATAGTTTCTGTCACTTTTTTTCTATTGAAACAGAGCATATTCGACTAAATCATGTGATTATAAATAATTTAATCACGTGAAATTTTCAATATGGCAAGAGATCATCTGATATGGTACATCATTTTATATTTAATAAAGTAAACAATTCTTATTTGGTCTTAATTTATTTTTTCCACACATGTAAAAATGAATGAATACTTGAAGTTTTCTGATAAATTTGGACTTGAGAAAAGCTTATATCACTTTTGTATTTATAGTGCTATCATTGGTAAATTAAATTTTGGCAATAGTTTCGATCAAATTAAACGAAATATCATTAGAAAGTGTAATGGTTATGGACTATCAAAAGCAAAATTCAGAAAAGTATATATTATAACTTTTTTGATTATATTCTTAATAATGATTAAAATATTGCAAACATGGCAAGGTCTTGTTAAACTTCATCATATATGTATTTTTTGCTTTATACCCCCATAGTTTTTATATACACAATATAGAGCCTCGCCTAAGCTTTTTTGCATATATAATAGAGCCTTGCTTGGTTTTTAACTTAGCCTCTCCATATGCATATTTTTATTTGTGCCCTCCATGAATTTATGTATACATATATGGGCCTTGCTTTAGTCTATATATACTTTGCTAGTTTATTAATATCAACGTCACGTTTCAAATAAAGTTACACTGATAAAGAATATATTTGTATATTCTATTTCAAGTTCCATGAATATAAATTCAATTTAAAATTAATTCTATTTAATAGTGATGAATTAAATGAGTTTTGGAATATGGTCAAGAATATGAAAGAAACCAATTTATATGCTTTATACAGTGTATATATTGAAAATTGTGTGAAGAATTTGGGATTTTACGATCTTTTAAATCAAACTATCTATGATCCTATTAAATTTATCAAAGCTAAGAACATAATTTCAAAAGTATATAAATTTTTGAGTATCGACATTGTAAGATTATACTGTATAAAAATTAAACATTTATTAGCTGCAGTATATGGATATAAATCAAGTTGCGAAAATAATAAGCCAAACCTTCCACAAAATCTCCATTGTTTCAAATGATCTCTTCTTATCTGGAATTATAGATGTTGAAAATATAATTGTTCGACATATGCAAATTAGAGATGCACTAGAAAAAAGAAATTTATGGGATGCAGTAAATGAACAAATCTGATATACACCATTAGAAAAAAGTTTGGAAAATTTTATTTTAGATGTACGCTATAATCCATTCATTAATATTCCAGAATATGAAGATAAATCATTATTCTCTAACACGAAAGATTTAGTTAATTCTATGTAAGTATTTTTGTACATTTATTTATTCTATAAAATGCAATAATTAAGTTTATAAATAGGCTAAAGTTATAGAAGATTCCAGAATACCAAATGCAAAGTCTCTCAATAAATGAATCAATTTGGGAATATGATACACTACAATCTATTGTAAAATTTATTACATATGATTTAGAAGATTATTTATTTGTTAGATAGTAAGTTTATATCTCTTTGTATAATTAGTAGATTATATCGATATAATCACTAATTATGAAACAGGGATAGTATAACAAGCAAGGCAAGTTAACGACGAAATGGTTCTAAAGGCCCAATAAAAAAAATGATATATTCGTAGTACATAAAAATAACCATTATGAATATGAAGTTCTTCTTGGTGAAGTTTCCCATAGACCATTTTTTAATACAACTCAAGTTCAATCACATACATATGACGACCATAATAAGCTTGGAAAATGTGGAAAAGATTCATTGGATGATGCTTTAAATTGCTTCATGAAATTAAATAATCTAGCAGGCAAAAATCTGAATCTGAAGATTTTAAAGAAATTAATGCATTTTTAATTCATGCTCACGGTATGCTTCTAATTTTATTTCTTTTATAGCTTTATTTATATTTATTAAATTTTTATTATTTAGAAACATCCTTAGAACTTTTTATTTTGGATCAAAAATTTGAGCCCTTTTTTCGGTTAAGAAGATTATCTAATATTTCAGTTCCTTATAAACAAGGCACAATTGGTGGTGTTATTGACCTGGTTCAGAATTTGCTAACATTTAGAAATATATTAATATGTACTTTAAACAAATTGAAAGAAATTGATAATTTGTTTAAAATGAAACCACAGTTTGTTGCTAAAGAGAGTAAAAAACAAAATGAAGATAATAAGTCTAATTTTATAAGAATCCCAACTCTTAACACGCCACTAAAATAAATAATATGTGATTTATTTACCAAAAATGTATGTGAATTATTTTCTATCATTATTAATGTTTTTGGGAATATTATTATAGCACCATAGCAATGCTATCCTATATTTAAGTACAAAATGTAAATCAAAACAATCTTTTGTATAAAAAATAAATTTTTATTTAGAGTTAAATTAAAGCTAGAGTTAAGGTTAGGCAAGGCATAGCTTATACTAAAATTTTGCAAGAAATTTTTTTTATTAGAATACAAAAGATGGGTTTAAGTCAAAATTTTATAACCAATTTTTAAAAATTTATTATTTTTGTTATACAAGGAGTAATCTGCATATTACATTTAATCTTAAATTTTAATTAGTAATAATACTCTAGCACTATAATGCTATAGTACTATAAATTAAATCCCAATGTTTTTCACTTTAAAATTAAAAGGGAAGGATCTAGAAATTAAAATAGTGTATAACTCTCAGGTTCAAAATAAAAATTAATTAACACATGATCATTATGATTCATATAAAAATGAAAACTCTGATTTGACATAAAAGATCATGAAAAAATGATTTGTCTTAGAGTTATTATAATTTAATAAGAGAACATTCTAATGATCATAATGGGCTGAATTAAACATACTGTAATTTAGGCTGTAAATAATTATTCACATAACCAAAATTATCCAATAGTTAATTTTAAGAATTTATTTCTCAAAAATCTACTCATATTGTTATTTAAGATAA